ATTAGTACCAAGGCAATTTGGCAGAAACTTCATCTTGATTTAATCACTAGGGAAAGGGAAAAAACATACAGGAAAAAAAGGTGGTAAGTATACAAAATGATAAAGGGAAAGTTAAATAACTACTGGTTTATGAATAAGTTGGCACTGAAAAGGGAGATATGTCGAAGCATACTAGGAACAAAATACATTAGCAATGTTGCTAGGCCAATGTGGATTTACTGAAATGTTAAAACATGAGGATGAAGAAATTATGAAAGTGGCGTGACAGATCTGGGAGGTGTGATTGTACACATTCTGATCTGTGAGTAACTAGAGATAATTGTGAATAATACTGAGCAGGAACTAAATCAAGCTCAGATAAGTTGCTGCCAGAAATTCAAAGGAGATTTTGTTCTGTTTGATATGAAATTTTAATACATCATGAAGTCCCAAAGAAACACCAGAAGACTGGAACAGTGTGGCTGTGGTGCATTACCTGCTGCAGCTTAATTAATGGAACATTGCCATCGGTCAGCACAAGTAAACACTATAATAAGTATTTGCCTGAATGTTACAGAGTGCTTCAATGATAAACTGAAGAGCAAGAGTAGAAGTGATACGATCAGTCTTTCAATCCCAGCTCTGCCATAATATGAATATACGATATTGTGCAAATGGATTCTGGCTCTCCTCCCTTTCTGATAGGGCCAGAGGAGCTGTGAGAGTAAAAACAGTTCATCCAAACCAGCTCTGGTGATGCTTCAGTGCTAGTGAAGTTTAGACTACATGATAGAAGATAAAATAAAAATGCAAAACTTTATGGTATCTGCCAGCAACTGAAACATTTATTTTTTCCAAAACATCTCCTAAGCCAATATGTTCCTACGTCTCTCTTTGAACCTGAAGTTATTTATTACCACCTCAAAACACATTAATAACTCTAATGAGAGCATATGCACGTGGAGTTACTCAAAAAAATTTCCGTACATGGTAAATCTTTAGAATTAAAGAGAGAATTCTTTCTTTCACCTTTCTTCTATATGACAATGATTATCTGACAATTCCTTTGCTTCACCATTCACTCATTTTCCTCTTTGATCCCTCTCACAATACTTGTCATGTCAACAGTTTTATATGGCTTTCACTGCTTTTTTCCCTCGTTTATTTTTTTAGGGTATAAACTCACATTGCAAATAATAGTCTACCATACAATAAAATTAGCAAAATTTGTCAATGGTAACTTTCAGACATCAGTCGGAAAGAAACTTAACCTTGTTTTCAAAGTACACGCTGCAAGGACCAGATTTCCCTTTTAATCATTTTGTGATTTTATCCAATTAATTCTTCACTTTCTAAGCACTAATTTAATTGGTATCCTTCAATCCAGGCATTAGCATTGTAGAGCAAGAGCACAGTAAATAACATGCACTTGGAGGACAGCTGAATCTGGGATATTTTTCACCTCACCAGTGTTTGGGATCATTAAACCTGTCAGACTTGTTTGGGCCAGGAAGAAGGCTTCTCTGAGTCTATTCCTTTTAAGGAGCGCAGCTACTGTGAGTTACAGCAATGAAATGCACAAAGTACACAAAGTGCCAAAGAAAATAAAGAAGTCAGCTGGACTGAAACTTTATCACTGTGTAAAATAACAAAACAAACAGAAATTCAACCACCCACCTAAAGAGAAAGCCACATGATCATTAGAGCATTTACTTTATTTTAATCTCCCAATTTTGATATGTGCATAACATCTGGAGTCTGTTTCTCGTTAAATCTCTGTATCTTGTATAACTGTGTACTCCTCAGAAAAGTGGACATAAACCACTACCAAATAAAAATCCTTTATCCATTTTTCACAGGTTAAAATGACCGTGAGTGCCTACAACATCAGATTCTTTACTTGAGTGAATGACAAGGCTCTTCTAGCACCCCTCTTGCTCACGTATCTAGGAATACGGCCTTAGCTAGGAATAGAAGGAACACCATATACATAAATAAGGATTAAAACTCAAATATTATTGATATCAGGTATTCAGCATTGAAGTTCTCTCTCCAAAAGACCACCTCTAGACATTAAAAATAAAAATATACAAAATGGCAAAAATGAAGTAACTTCCTTTGCTGCTCCTACACTGATAATTTCTGCTCCTGGTTTTTTCTAAAGTGTGATCTGTCTCACACACTCCTACATTCAATTCCCTTTTTTATTCGGCCAGCTGTTTTTTGTGTAGAGCACACAATACAACATGAGTTCATGAAACAAGCAGAAGTTCATTCTTCTGCAGCTGTTCTTCAGGTTCCGACCTCCACCCAGCCCCACAGCACTGGTTGTTATGGAGCACTATTTTTTTTTGGTCTTTTTAGTGAAGGAAAGATGGAGGGTCCAATCATTGTTTCTGGTTTAGGATTTTTTTACAAGATACTGGAAAAGACTTCACTCTGTCCTTCACAAGGTCAAACAAAACTACAACTTCACTTTAAGAAAAAGGAGTGATTTGAAACACCTTTTCTCAACTGCAACAAACACACCTTTTTAAAAGATGTGAGGAAGTAAGGTCATAGAATCACAAAGTCATTTGAGTTGAAAGGGACACTTAGAGGTCGCCTAGTCCAACTCCTGCAATGAACAGGGACACCTCCAGCTCAATTAGGTGCTCAGAGCCCCACACAGTCTGACTTCCAAGGTCTCCAGGGATGGGACATGCACCATCTCTCTGGGCAGCCTGTTCCAGTGCCTCACCCCTCACTATGAAAAGCTTCTTTCTAATATCCAGTCTTTTCCTTATATGCAGATGTTGGAGCTGAAGCATTTTTAGATCACACCAGATTTTTAGAAGAATCTCAAGTTACCCTTAGCAAAACACGTGCTTTGTTTAACAGAGGGCACGGTTTCACCACTGATGTTTATTGTAACCAATTCAGAACTGAATTCTGCTTCTGATCTCCTCAGAAATACTGTGTGACAATACATCTCTTACTGATCCTTTAGTTTTTGGCAGCCACTGTATGCTAAGCATTAAAACTCTTCGGAGTTTTAATGTGTTGCATCTGTGGAAGTGGGCATCTCTGGTTAATGGCAGATTAGCCATAGGAGTTAATGGTAAGTATCACTGGCTACTTACTCCAGGTCTACAAAACATGACTACACCTAAACGTTCTGTGCAGCCTCTTCACATGTAACTCATGAGAAAGCCTCTGGAGGCTGTTACAGACAGGAGTGGCTGCCAGGTTCTGTGGTGTTTATATTTCTATCCAACTGTGCTGAGAGACGCAGCAGTGTTTTGGATAAACAAAGCCTTTAGCAGAAATTATCAACGGCCTCATTATAATCTACAGAGATCTACTGCTCAGCTACAGGATAATCAAAAGGTAAGCAGCAAGCACTGCTAGTTTGTTCCAAACAGCAACAGCTTAGCAGACGAAAGAACACTGATGATTAGGAGAAAGCTTAAGTATATTACATAAATAAATGCTAGTTCAAGGAATAAGTTGCCTAAATAATTTCCTGCGAGGTACTGAGTTGTTCTTAGCTGGAGAAGTAGATGAAACACAGTATAATATGCCAGGAAGAATTCTTCAGCCTAACCAGTAAAAAATGTACGGATGAGGAAAACCACACTCTCTGGGAAACTGTATGGCACCAAGCAGTGCTATGGCACGGAAACACCCACAATTGAAGCCCAGCCCAATAAAAGACAAGAATCTGCGTGGCTTCCCTTTTCCTCTCCCTTCCTTTTTCCTGCCTGTGGAATCACAGTGCTTTTATTTTGCTGATACTGAAGAACAACAGATGGGAGAACTGGGAACTTTTCCTTTTGAGAAGGGAATGTTTTTTATGCTTCTTAAGGAGTGGGCTGATGGACTTAGGTGGAACGATGAAGAAAAGCTCACCTGGTACAACCCTGAAAACTCTTTTGTAGATGTTAATTTTTTGCTTTAGAGTAATGCCAATCAGGGTAAGAGATATCTGAGTCTAAATGTGGATTGTGCATACTCTGTATTTCCTTTGGAAAGCCAACCATAATGTAGGAACAGAGACAGGATCTGAATCTTCAAAGTTGTCTGTGCAGTGGTAATTGTACAATTGTGTGCACCTCTCTGTGTTTTGCCCAGAAACCTTAATTCTCACACTTACCTGACACTTTGTGTACTGCTCAACAAATACTATGAGACAAGGCAAATATTTACCTGTTTATCAATGAATGACATTATTTGGAGAACAGCCATGTTTGCAAAGAAACTCCACTATCAATGGACTCAGAAAGTCCCAACTCCTCCAAAACTGTTTCCTGCACTGTTTCTTATGTTGGGAAGGCATCCTGAAGAGTAAAGAGTAAAAAAAAAAACAACAAAAAAAACACCTATGAAGTATTTACCTTTCAAATTATGAAGCAACTTCTTCTTCATAACTGCTTGCTCCCACACGTGCAACTGGTGAGGTGATTATGTTGTACAGACCTACACACTGAGCTTTGTTTTAAAAATATTTTACATTCACAATATAGAAACAAGCAACTGCTGTTGTTGCTTTGTGGCAAATCAACCAGTTACACTCGTATAAATATTTCTTTATCTTCCCATGTCCATGTGGTTTCACCTGTAATTGTTGCATGGACTCTGAGTCAGAACCCTGCTGCTCTTTATCAAATCTATCTGAAGGTTTAAGAGTCATTGTGGGGGTAAGCCACAATGAGTAAACTAGTAGGGAAGGAACACGTCAGGAGAAAAACAGACTAATGCATCAGAATCGACGGAGACTTTCAAAAAACAGACAAATCGAAATGGAGAAAAAAAGGTGTCCTTAGTGGCACGATTTCAGCATGTAATCAATGTTACTTTAAATCAGAGGTTTGGCTTTTGTGCAGTAAACATTTCTTCCCCACTGATACGTCCCCCTGCAAAAAAAATCCCTCAAGTAACCAGGCAAATCTATCTGCGGTCGAGTTGAAAAGAGATTTAAAAATCAAATATTGATTTTGCAGATCTTCACTGGGGCAAAAGGGTCACATATAATATACCACATGTATGATATCGTGTGTACCAAGAAGGTCACAAACGTCATGCTCTCTGCTATCTGCGAACGCGTCAATGACTCTCTCAAGCCTGGGACGTGCACTGTGACACAGCGTTACAGTGAGAGCACCCTGCGCGGCAGACGGAAGGAACCGAGCTGAGAAGAGCTCCAGGACGCACGGGGTGTCCCACGAGGTGTCCCAGCGGTGCCGGCGCTCAGCGCAGCCGCTCATCTCCCTGGTACGGCCGTAGCCCAGAAGCTGGTTTGCAGCTCCTCGTCCTTCGAGGGGCCGATGACAGCAGTCCTGCACTCAGTGGTGTTTCCCACTTTTAGAGGCGGCGAACGCCCTGGGGACAGTGCCGCTATTGCCGCTGCCGGGGCTTGGGGGGGGGCGGGGCGGTAAGGCAAGTAAACTTCTGGATGTAAGGACCTCCCGAGGCTGCGCTCCTTACAAAACACGGGCCGGTATCTGTAAGCCAAACTCAAGGTTCAGCAGGGAGAGAGGTGCAGCTGACTGCCCAACACCCCAAAACAAAAACCGCGTGCCCTCTCCAGCAGAGGGATAGTACCTAACCCGCCAGCAGCTCCCAGCCTGGCCCGAAGGCAGCGGTACCGCCAGCAGCAGGACCGACACCGTCCCGCCCGGCCCCCGCAGCACTGAGCGGGCGGAGGCACCTGCTGCCTGTCGGCCGACGAAAAAGAAATCGCAGCGCATCAGCGCGGAGATCGAGCGGCAGCTGCGCCGCGAGGAGCGGGACGCGCGGCGGGAGCTGAAGCTGCTGCTGCTGGGTGAGTGCGGCTCAGCGGGCGCGGGGCGGCGGGGCGCGGCGCGGCGCTGGGACGGGCGGTGCCAAAAGGAAAGCCCGAGCGCTGACGTACCGCAGTGCCACGTGCCTGGCTGGCCGTCGCCCGTTGCCGGCCTGGAGGCGTGCGTTTTTGGCTGCTGCAGCCGTCAGAGGGGATGCCTGCTTGTTTTCTGCCAGGTCTTTGAGGAAGGCTGGTAAATGTTTTGAATCCTGCTGTGAATATTTATAAGGGATAGGATTCGGCTCCACCGCAGGAGCGAACTTTTGTTTGTTGGGAGTGTCTGCAAAGTCTGGGAGTGACTTTCTTCCCAGTTCACACTCTGCCTGTACACTGTGCAGGTGATGCAGTGCTCACCAGTTTCAGACTTTCTCCTCTTCTTGCACTTGGGATGTCACACTAACTCAAAACACGGAGGGAGTTCTGTATAATTCCACTTTTTTAACCAGAAACACTGGTGTGTATGCTCAAGTTGGTTTTGAAAAACCTCAGAGTAACAAAAGTACTCCCCCAAACAAGAACAACAGAAATGCAGCAGCTCTTCATTTGTATTTTTTCCAATTGAAATCACTGTGAGACACATTCTCCCACTACATGCAGCACTGAACAGCTGTGAATGTTGTATGTTTCACCCAATAGCTGGAAGAATTTTTTGTTAGTTAGCTTCTCCACTTGAAAGTCGTGCAGGAAACACAAGCGTAATTTGTTAGATCTTTGATCAAGGTGTACCAGATTCTCAGTGTAATAAGAGTTACAGGAAAGACAGAACCAGGAGGCAAAACCAGGGGAGCTGCTGCAGCTAGAGGTGGTGTTTGTGTGCCTTTGTAGTGGGATGAAGTGAGGTTGATGGCAAGGGTGATGCCCTTAGGCAGGTGCTTAAATGCCTGGCCAGCAGGCCAGCGTGGTGTGTTCTGTGGGAGTGAGCAGTGTGGAGGGGCTTGGCTCGAGAGTCTGGAATGTATGTATGTACCATGGCCGATTCATTTATGCTGGTAATTGTGATGCTTGTGTAGAATATAGATGTAACCATATTTGGACACATATTTTATGTATTTGTCAGAAAGCGTAATTTGAAGTGTGTTGTTCCATTCAATGAAAAGTAAATTATCATCTTATTGTCTGTCAAATATAGCAGTACCTTATTTCTTTTACAGGAAAAGGAAAAAAAAAAAATCCAAAAACGTTATTCTGGATGACTGCTAATCCTATAACGTCTTGTCTTCGGAAAGCAGTTCTTCAAGAGTGAGAATGGCATAAAATAACTTCCTTCCTTCCAGTAAGCAGCACTCTTAGCATCCACCTCTTTCAGTCTCAGAAGCTTCCTGAGCCACATGAAGTTCCTGAGCTTTCAGTAGCTCTCGGTGTATTCTTCTTCCATGAGCTTATCTAACATTCTTGGCCATCTACTACATTTTCTGGCAGAAGATATTCGTTTTACCTGTGCTTTGTGTGAGAAAATTCTTTCATTTGTTTTTTGTTCATTTCCTCTTATTCATGGGAGGGTCAGGTGGAGGTTAGGGGCAGGTTCTGCACCAGAGAGTGGTGAGCATGGAACAGCCTGCCCGGGGCAGTGGGCATGGCCCTGAGCTGGTGGAGTTGAAGGAATGTTTGGACAGTGCTCTAAGACATTGTGTCTGATTTTTGATTGGTCCTGCGTGGAGCCAGGAGTTTGGCTCAGTGATCCTTATGGACCCCTTCCAACTCAGGATATCTTCTATGATTCTTATTCAAAAGTTCATAATACTAGTTTAGAAAGAGGTGTAATACTACCAGTGCCTTTCCAATCTTCTCCATGTCTCTTGGTTATGCATACTTCTTACATCCCTCTTCAGTCATCTGTCTGACAAGATGAAGCACATAAATGACATTTTCTTTTCTTCACTGTGCCCAGGTGTGTGCACGACAGCAGTGTGCTAATAAAGGGGGATGTAACATACTTTCAAAGGTTAGTTCTTCTAACCTTTGCACTGTAAAAGAAATGCACTGGCGAATGGAAGTTTTTATTTTATTTTTTCACACACTGGTTTCTATTACAGCCCACAAACATCTGCTTCCTACCTCTTCCTGCTCTGCTCCCCTGCTCCAGGCTTCTCTTCTTGAGTGAGAGAGCAGACTTTGGAAAGAAATCATCTTGTTCCATAGCACTGAGCCCACTTGCAGAACGGACCTGCTTGAAGGCAGCATGATGTGTTCCCAGGTACGTGTCTTAATACCACAGTCAGCATTACAAAGCTTTGCTGACTGTGTCAGATTAGGATATGAAAAATTCTCACCCTAATGTGATAGCAATAGGTCTACTTCTGATAATAAAGAGATCCCAGTAAAAAATTGTGATTGAAGGGGTTTGTTGTCAGAGGAAGTGTGCACATGTGCTGAAATACAACTTTATACTTAAGAGGAGATATGATATAATCTTGTCCAGAAAGCTTACTGAAGTACACAGAAGTTTATAAAAGGAATACTTAAGTTGTCATTGCAAATGAACCTTTGATGAAAAGTCTCTATGCATGAGGAAGATAGTGCTGCTTATGAGTGTATGTAAGCAGCATATTGTGAATGGTGGGAGTTAGTGCAGTTGGTCCTTCATAATGCTCCTTGTGGCCACTTCAAGTGGATTTTCTTACAGCCTGCATTGTTATAATGGGGCCAAGTGTGGAGAGGGCCGTGCTGAACGGGCAGAGTCATTAGTTCTTGATGAGAAGAGATGTCTTTGGGGGCTGTTTCAAAGATAGTTGACTGCCAGTACATTGACTTCTGTTTGGAAGCAGAAAGATCTCCCAGCTAGCAATGCCATGACAGATTTCACTGAAAGAATACTGCACATCTGAGATACCAGCTGTCGTAGGCCTTTATTTTCTGGAAGCATCTGCAAATGTTTGCAGTGGTTGTATCACATGGGTGAACCACTTGTTTTCTTCCCTCCTCCCTCTCCCTCTC